TGATGAATTGTTTAAGCCACATGTTTATTAATTTTTAAAAATTTATTTTAACTTTAATTAATAAATTTTTTAAGAAGACAAATTCTATGTTTCAATTTATTTTTTAATATTCAAAAATAATTTATTTTGAAAGAATAAAGAAAAAATAAATGTCATGAATAAATCAAAAATTCAGTTAGTAACTTCATTTTATTCTATTTATAAACTGATTATTATACAATGGTTTTGTTTTAACATTAATTATAAAATTTTATAAAATTTATTATATTAAAAGATCAATGAATTTATATAAAAATATAACATGGAATTGATTCATTAACAAATTCATTTATTAAAAATTTGTTTTTTAATTTATATACTGTATACTGTTTTTATAAACTGACCTATTGTAGAACATTATGTATTTACAGTTTTATCAACAGTAGTTTTCTTAAATTATTTAAATAAGCTAAAAATTATTGAATACTTTTGCTTTTATATTCAGACTCTTCGAATTAGATTCAATAAAAATTTGAATGCAAAATGTCCATATTTTTATATTAAATCTAATCTAATGACACTCTCTGAACAATAAATACTATTTAAGTAAATTAATATTAATTTTGAAAACTGTAAATATGTAGTACTGAACTTATTGACAAACAGTGTTTTTATTTATGATATACTATACTGTAAATATGTACAGTACTAATCATACACCGTATATCATAAACAGTGACCAATATTTTATATACTACTAATATATAGAGCTTCTAGAAAATTTTATTAAAGGTATAATTTAATTAAGAAGTTACATATTTAACTTTGTTAATTTAGCTTTAAATTTAAAGCTTAGAAAACTGATGTCAGAAAGTTTAGAAAATATAAAAATATGATAAATTTTTTCATTTTATTAATTAAAGTTTAAATATGATTAAAATGTATAATTAATATCTAAAAGTTATTCCAACATTTATAGCTTATGTTTTTGCAAAACCAAACTCTAAACTTAGCTTAAAAAAAAAAAACAGTTTTTTTTAGGATTGACTATTTAGAGCATTTTTGGCACTTCAAATTTCCTGCAATTATTCTAATAAAAAATATTCCATGCAATTATTTTAATAAAAAATATTTTTAGAATGATAAAGAGACATCTAAGTAATCATACTTAGATGTCTCTTTATCATTCTAAAAATATTTTTTATTCATGTTATAAATTAATTAAATTTTAAAATTTTGTATACTAATGATAACACTTTAAACAATATCGAAGAAAAAATATTTTCATAAAACAATGAGTGAATTAATATAAGATGATAATAGTAAATTAAAAGACTGATCTGCTTTGTTCATCTGTAAGCTAAAGTTTAAAATAAAAATAAAACTGTTTATAAATTTCCATTCATTTTATGATGTACAACTTTTGTAAATAATTAATTGCAATTGAAAGAAAAATTCATTTTCTCAAGTATTAGATCTACACTTTCAAATAATTCCATTCTAGATATTNTTAAAAGTTAACTAGATGCTTCAAGCATTTTCAATGTTACATTTGAAAATATGGAACTGTTTTCCAAAATATTAATTGAAAAAATTTAAAAAAATCAAAGAAAATCCAAGAATAGTTTTAATTATAATTAAAACTATTCTTGGATAGTTTTAATTATAATTAAAACTATTTAAATTTTATAAAAATTAGCAAAATACTATAAAAATAAATCAGATAATTTTCTTTTACATTGAAGATTGAAAGTAAATTGACATTTAGAAAAAGTAATGATAATGTAATAAACATTAACAGTAATTACATTTTACATTACATATACACATTAAATTAATTTAAAATAGAATCAATTACATATTTAAGGTCACACAAGTTGTTTATATAATTGTTTTAATTATATATTTTTCATTGTTATAAATTACAATTAAATGTCACAACATATTTTACACCAAGAAATGTATTAAGAAACTTAATTTTTAATTCTCTATTTTTTTATTTTTTGATAAATTTCTATCTAATTTACATTTAAGCTAATTTTATAATTAAAAAATTAATTAATGCATTTTAATATTTATTTAATGTAGAATAATTTTATTTAAAATTTAATTTTAAATGATATATAATAAATGTCACAGCTGGATTCTGGCTAAAAAGCTAAATAATTACAATGCAAATTGCTTAGTGGTTATTTAGCCTTATAATCCAATAAAGAATCTGCTGTTTGTTTGGTATTTGAAATAACTTTTGGGTTAGTTGTATTCATGATATATATATTATTTTCCCTCCCCCTTCATTTAACTTTTTATTTTTTTGCTTCATACTAAAGTTTTAATAGTTTTCATGACATTATGCTTATTAAATATAAAAATAAACTATAACTATAATAATAATAAAATAAAAATTTTATTAGAATATTATGTAAATTCATGTATAATTTTACTGTGAAATTATAAAAATATATTACAAAAGTGGAATGATAAATGTTAAATCAAAACAAACTTCATTTTTAAACTTCATCTAATAAAACTTTTTATTTTATTATTAGTTGAGAAAAATTCATAAATATAAAGACTTATTTGTTATTTCTAAATACCTCATACTTTTAATTTATATACTGGTCTAATACATTCTATTTTATTAATGAATACATTTTAAATATATTATTTTATGTAAATGAAAAACTAAATGATTTTAAACTCTACCTTTTATACTTGATCTATTGTACAAATAAATGTTCAAAATCTTTTAGTGTCTAGCAATATATTTACAGTAATTAACAAATCTTTTTTGGGCTTTCAAAACAGACAAAAATGTCATTAAATAATTATATTGTTGGACTAAAGTGTTTTTTTAAGCAATTATTCAAATAATCCTTACTAATATAAGCTTTTTACTTTTATAAAAAAAAATTTGTTCTTACATTATACATTATTATAATTCTTTTATGTGAATAAAAATAATAGTTAAAGGCTCAAATTAAATGCCAAAATCAAGATTATTATATATTTGTATTATATAGTAAACCTGCTGATAATATATATTTATTTAATATATTTTTTACTAATTTTATGTTCTTGACAAATTTTTCCAATTTCCAAAAATTGATACTCTTCTGCTAATCTAATTTAATTCTATAATAGTTTCTTAATTATTATGCACCTAATAAATATAATAAAACAATTTTTTTTATTTTATTATTCTCAAATTTATAAATATGTAAAGTACTGAACAGAATTTTGAGATGTTTTATGATTCTTTGATGATATAAACAAACAAATAAATTTTAGCAAATTAAGACAGTTATTTATTTTTCATTAATAAAAGCATAATGTTTCATATGATGAATAATCTATGAATAAAATTAAACACACTATCTAATTTTGTTCCTTTTATTTGTATATTTTTATTACTGTAATTAGATTTATCTACATAATATAAATAATTTTAAAAATATTATATATATTGTTTTTATTCTTTGTCCAATAGACAGTTACAATGCTGAAGTTTCCATTATACAATTTCCATTAAAATCATTCAACAGATGTGATGAAGATATTTTTTGCCAATATTATAAAATTAAAATTTCAAATTCTATTAGTGTTTTATACTTTTGGAAATTTTGAGAGACAGATAAAATATAAATATTTTATGAAGTTATTAAAAAGTAAAACAAACAGGAAATATGTAAATAATTTATACAATAATAAATAAGATGTATAATGAACAATAATCTAAGTAATTTTACAGATTAATACTGATTAACAAAGTCATTTCTATTGTTTTCTATAAAACTTATATTTTGATTAGAAAAATTGTTATAACCATTTAGCCATTTTCTTATAAGAAAACTAATAGTTAAATTTAAACAAAATAGTTTGAAAACATTACAAGAATAAAAGTTTAACATTATATAACTGGACTGCTGTATGTTACTATGTATATAATTCGTCTCTGTAATCCAAAAAGTTTCGGTAGACAAACTCACAGCAAAACTTTTAGTTAGGAACTCACTTTTATTCTTTAAAAAATGACATATGCATTTCAAGTTGGTACATACACCCAACCCCTCCTCAGTGCTAATTTTTCAAAAAAAATATAAAAAGCTATAATGATCAGTACATAACATACATTACAAAATATTTCTACATACTTACTCTTAAAAATAAAATGTGTGTGTGAGCATACAAAAATTTTTGGATTACAGAGACGAATTATATACAAAAGTTTAACAATTTTAACAGATCAGAAAAAGTAAATTGAATATACTAAAAATGCAATATATGACATCATTACTTTAACATTCAATGAATATCAATATTTTTAAATAAATCTATTAAGAATATTGTATGTTTTACAAATGATTATGATTATCTATCTTATTTTATCAAACTCAAGCAGTTCAATAATTTACTTTCCCTCAACAAATGATGACGATGATTTTTTTTTTTTTTTCATTTTTATAAACAGAAACTGGTAAGTTAGAGCAATCAAAACTTAACTGCAGAATGTAAAATTAATCAAAAAATTGAAAATATATGTCCTATTAATGTGTATAAAATGTGGGACAAATTAGAAAAAAAGAATATTAGGAAGTTATGTTTATCCAGATTTTTCAAAAATTCTTTTAAAGATTTAAAAAGTTTCAACTTCTCCAAAACATTTAATAATGAATTCATAAGTATTGTATCATGTTGTAAACATCACATTTCACATATTCAAAACTAGAATAAAAATTAAATTTCTAACTTTTGTTGCTTGGAGTTTTTCTCTTTCTAAATTTATATTAGTANATATTTTGTCATTATAATATATCCCATAAACAGTAAAATATATTATTTTAGTATTAAAAGTTAAGTCAATTGATTACTTTAATATAATTTTATTTATATGAATTTCTTATATCATCAATTGTTAATGTGATTAATGATGTTTTGATTCATTTTTCTCTTTAATGTCTGAATGAATATCAAAAAAACTGTTTTTTTTTTATGTTAAATAAATTGGAACAATGCACAATACATTATAATTTATTAAAGAGAAACACTGTACTTTGTCAATTTACAATGCTTTTGTAAGCATAAAATGTCATAAGTTTTATATATAATTAAAATTCTTTTTACAGCTTTTATAAAGTAAATTTATATAATATTCTTCTTCTCCCAAGATGAATTTTCAATTATTTGAGTTTGAGTTTCTTACTCTTCTATTTGCTAATATACATAGCAGTTCTCTCAATATCTGTTTGTAAGTATTATATATCTTCCTATTTTTATTTTTTATTCAACATTTCTATATATAGTTTTTAAATCTTCTCTCTGGATTCCTTCTAGTTTTGGATTTTCCTGTCCTGGAAGTGATAATTTTCCAATTGTCTATGTATATGACAGAATTGTAAATGTCTCCACTCCTTCAAAATTTCTTCTATTACATTACTTGAAATTTTGCTTTGATAAATATATTCCTAGTTGTTTCACTTAATTGTTTTGATTTATAAATGTTTTTCTTCTTTCTCTTTACTATGAAAAATTCATCTGTATATTCTATAAAACACAAATAAAAAAAATATATATATAATTTTTTTAACATTTCTGCATTCAGAAATACATGGTTTTTAAATAGTAAATTGGATATAAAATTACATCTGAAATGTGCATAATCATATGTAATAAAATGAAAAATGTCTAATAGAATTAAAATTCCTCTTTAAAGATTATATAAAAAATAATTGTGTTAATTTCAAAACAATTGGTAACCTCTGCTTTTTGAAGTTCAAAGTTCTTTAGAAAGTTGTTTGACATGATGTCGTAAAATAGCAAGTGCAATAGAACAAAATTTAAACAAGCAAAATTTTCAAGATTATCTCTAAAGATGGATTAATAATAAGTCCAAAAGTACTCAGGTATGAAAGTGAAGATTTCTAAAGGGCTAGGAAGGCTAAGAAAGCAGAGATTTGTGCAAAGGCAGTCCTAGGATTTGTGAGGCCTTAGGCAAAATTTATTTCTGAGGCCCATTAAAAGAGCAATAAAGGTAGCTTTATTTATATCTACAATAATATGAACATTTTAAATATAGAAACAGACAATAATGCACAATTATATTTTCAATAGTTATCAATTTGAAGATTAAAATACTAAAATTTACCAAATTTGTGAAGCCCAAAGGTACAAAGCCTTAAGCAATGCCTTTTTTTCACTTATATGTATAACTGCCTCTGGGTTTGTAACTATTTTAAAATTAGAATGGAGTTTGATTTAGAAATTGCAATAATTATTAATTTTATTGGTATTCTTTGTTTTCAATCTATATTTTCAATGAAAGTGGATGATGTGTAAATTCTATTTAAATGATTTTAAGTAATTCACTGAAATAAAGTAATAATGTTCAGAAATAATCTATATTAATCCTTATTTACTGAAAATTTAATATTAAAAGTTCTAGTATTTAAATTTCAGAATAAATTTATTTAATGAATACAATTTGTTTTAAGTTAAATATTATTATGAAATGGAGATGATATAAATATGAATATGAAACTTTCATAGGTTTTTTTATCATGTTATTAAAAAACAAAAGGGAATTTAAGAGGAAAAAATATTAAAAATTTTATTGTAAACATGAACATAATACACTTTTATTTAAATTAGATTGAATATTTTTTAAATATTCAACTATATTTTATAACAAATATTTTTATTGTTTAAATAATTCACACCAATGATGTCTGAAATTCAAATTGCACAATAAAATTAATTTTATTACAAAATCATTTGAAAATTAATAAATTCATATTTAATAATTTATAATTTATACTGAAAATAAAATTTATTAACTTTCTGAAAGAGAAAAAAGTCATTGTAGATATTTAAATCTATAATTTTAAACATAAAGTAATCAGCGAAATAAATTATATTTGATGAATTGTTTAAGCCACATGTTTATTAATTTTTAAAAATTTATTTTAACTTTAATTAATAAATTTTTTAAGAAGACAAATTCTATGTTTCAATTTATTTTTTAATATTCAAAAATAATTTATTTTGAAAGAATAAAGAAAAAATAAATGTCATGAATAAATCAAAAATTCAGTTAGTAACTTCATTTTATTCTATTTATAAACTGATTATTATACAATGGTTTTGTTTTAACATTAATTATAAAATTTTATAAAATTTATTATATTAAAAGATCAATGAATTTATATAAAAATATAACATGGAATTGATTCATTAACAAATTCATTTATTAAAAATTTGTTTTTTAATTTATATACTGTATACTGTTTTTATAAACTGACCTATTGTAGAACATTATGTATTTACAGTTTTATCAACAGTAGTTTTCTTAAATTATTTAAATAAGCTAAAAATTATTGAATACTTTTGCTTTTATATTCAGACTCTTCGAATTAGATTCAATAAAAATTTGAATGCAAAATGTCCATATTTTTATATTAAATCTAATCTAATGACACTCTCTGAACAATAAATACTATTTAAGTAAATTAATATTAATTTTGAAAACTGTAAATATGTAGTACTGAACTTATTGACAAACAGTGTTTTTATTTATGATATACTATACTGTAAATATGTACAGTACTAATCATACACCGTATATCATAAACAGTGACCAATATTTTATATACTACTAATATATAGAGCTTCTAGAAAATTTTATTAAAGGTATAATTTAATTAAGAAGTTACATATTTAACTTTGTTAATTTAGCTTTAAATTTAAAGCTTAGAAAACTGATGTCAGAAAGTTTAGAAAATATAAAAATATGATAAATTTTTTCATTTTATTAATTAAAGTTTAAATATGATTAAAATGTATAATTAATATCTAAAAGTTATTCCAACATTTATAGCTTATGTTTTTGCAAAACCAAACTCTAAACTTAGCTTAAAAAAAAAAAACAGTTTTTTTTAGGATTGACTATTTAGAGCATTTTTGGCACTTCAAATTTCCTGCAATTATTCTAATAAAAAATATTCCATGCAATTATTTTAATAAAAAATATTTTTAGAATGATAAAGAGACATCTAAGTAATCATACTTAGATGTCTCTTTATCATTCTAAAAATATTTTTTATTCATGTTATAAATTAATTAAATTTTAAAATTTTGTATACTAATGATAACACTTTAAACAATATCGAAGAAAAAATATTTTCATAAAACAATGAGTGAATTAATATAAGATGATAATAGTAAATTAAAAGACTGATCTGCTTTGTTCATCTGTAAGCTAAAGTTTAAAATAAAAATAAAACTGTTTATAAATTTCCATTCATTTTATGATGTACAACTTTTGTAAATAATTAATTGCAATTGAAAGAAAAATTCATTTTCTCAAGTATTAGATCTACACTTTCAAATAATTCCATTCTAGATATTCAAAAATAACAAATAAAAAAATTTTAATTTAAGATTCTTATTGAAATATGATAAAAAGTAATAAAATAAAATAAAAACGATTGTATTATGTTTCTTTATTACAGAATATAATCATAAATCTGTCAAATTGCAAATACAACAGATGAATATAATTAAGAAAATATAATTAAGTATAACAGATATAATTAAGGAAAGTATTAATCAAAATTTTTTTTATAATACAATAAAATTCATTTAATGTATATGTTAAAGGAAACTTATGAAATCAATATCTTAAATAAACATATTACATTAAGTTTTATATATAATAAGTATGTTGTTGAGGAAATTTGTTATTTCTAACAGTCACCACTATATAATAAATAATAATAAAAATAAATTTTTAAAATGTTCTGCATAAATTAGAAAATTCATAGATATTATCTATTGATAGTAATCATCAGGATGATAAACAACACTAAATAAATTAGAGAAAATTTTGAAACCCAAATGTCTCATCATCAAAAGAATATTTGATCTGATAATGAGACATTTGGGTCTTGAAAACTGTTTTCTAATTTATTTAGCATTGTTTACCACTCTAATGATAATTTTAGAGCCAGTAATCAATAAGACAATTATCTAATAATATTGATTAATGAATAACATTGATAAAAATGTTATAACATTTTTATTTAATTTGTTTTGCATATTTTATAGTTTATATAAATTATAAACTATTCAAAACAAATTAAATAACAACACTGTATAAAGAAATGTATTAAAAATACTGATGATTGCATGGAAAAATATATTATTTTGTGATACAAACAAGAATAAAATCATATAGCAGCAATAATAGTATATCTTTCAATAGAATAAAATATAAGTAAAAAAAAAAAATACAAAGAAAATTATTTAAAAAAGATATAGATTAATACAATTTCTATTTTATACACAAAATTAAACAATTTATATTTAACCATTTTGTAATCACTTGCCACACTAAAAACAACAAACAGTTTAGAATGGTTAATGTATTGTGTAATGTCTTTACATTTTTTTAATATTTATTTTTTATATTAAAGATCAAGTTGATATATTGACTCAATATTAAAATTATTTATATAAAAATCTAAAATAATAAGAAATTTAGGCATTGACATTTTTAAATATTGAAGATATACCAGTAACTTAAACATGAAGTTCAAAGATTGTTTACCATCTAAAATTTTAAAATCTTAAAATTTTAAATCACTTAAAATTTTAAAAATATAAGCTTAGTTCAAAATCTTTTACAGAATTTTGTATTAACAAATCATCTATTTATACATGATCTGATGTCTGATAAAACAAAAATTACATTTAAAATATATTAAATTAAAAGTTAACTAGATGCTTCAAGCATTTTCAATGTTACATTTGAAAATATGGAACTGTTTTCCAAAATATTAATTGAAAAAATTTAAAAAAATCAAAGAAAATCCAAGAATAGTTTTAATTATAATTAAAACTATTCTTGGATAGTTTTAATTATAATTAAAACTATTTAAATTTTATAAAAATTAGCAAAATACTATAAAAATAAATCAGATAATTTTCTTTTACATTGAAGATTGAAAGTAAATTGACATTTAGAAAAAGTAATGATAATGTAATAAACATTAACAGTAATTACATTTTACATTACATATACACATTAAATTAATTTAAAATAGAATCAATTACATATTTAAGGTCACACAAGTTGTTTATATAATTGTTTTAATTATATATTTTTCATTGTTATAAATTACAATTAAATGTCACAACATATTTTACACCAAGAAATGTATTAAGAAACTTAATTTTTAATTCTCTATTTTTTTATTTTTTGATAAATTTCTATCTAATTTACATTTAAGCTAATTTTATAATTAAAAAATTAATTAATGCATTTTAATATTTATTTAATGTAGAATAATTTTATTTAAAATTTAATTTTAAATGATATATAATAAATGTCACAGCTGGATTCTGGCTAAAAAGCTAAATAATTACAATGCAAATTGCTTAGTGGTTATTTAGCCTTATAATCCAATAAAGAATCTGCTGTTTGTTTGGTATTTGAAATAACTTTTGGGTTAGTTGTATTCATGATATATATATTATTTTCCCTCCCC